ATTATAGTAGCATATTAAAAGGGGATAAAAGAGAAAAACCTTTAAAGATTTCGGCATACAAAGGTACTAGAGAATTTGTTTTTCTTTCTTTCTTTTTAAAAAGAAGTTTCTCTTATTTCTAATATCCTTTTTACCATTCTTTTTTTTTTGGTAACTAAATAGTTTTATTAATCACCAAGTGAATAATTACACATTTTACCATTCATAGAGACGAAATTGAAGATGGATCCTAGACTCAGTCTTCGACGCATTGTATTAATCAAAAGTGGCATTGATATGTAATGGAACATTTTTTAATGGTAAAAATTTATCCGCACAAACTATTTAGACCAAGCTAATAAATAAGTGACATTTGTCACATAATTTAACTACAAATGTTAGTGTTTAACCACAGTTAACTTTTATTTCTTTTGCACATAATAATCTAATTTAATAATTAAATATACTTCTATTCCGCTATGCTCCTAACGGCATTGTCATTACATCGGGAAAAAAAACATTGCCATGAGAGAGCAAATATGAAGTCTAAAACTGTGAGGCATAAATTCTCCTTTCTTCGAGTCTCATCCACGAGATTTTTTTTTTTAATTTATTTATATATATATATATATATCAATCAAAAGATTCTATGCTTTTGATATTCTAATGCTAGTAAAACAGTAAAATTATTTTAATAGATTAAAAAAATTTCAATTTTATGGTTTTCGCAGTTTGTATTTGTTCCTATACCTAATATTGTAGAAGTAGACAAGATTTTGCCCAAGTGTTTGACAAAAAGCAGGATTAGAACTTAGTAGAACTTAGAAAAAGTTAGGGAGAGGATGAGGAGTGAGGACTATGAATCTCCGCACAGTCGCCTCAGCCAAGCCTAAGGGTGGCATGTGGATCGGGCCCGGTACTAAATAGGCTTCGCGGGCCCGATCTTAAGTGGGTCAGTCCTAAGCGGTCTCGGGCTTTGTGGGCTTCTTGTTGGAATCGGTCCGGGACCGGGACCACAAAATAACGGTCTCGTGTTAAGTGGGCCGGTCCCTAGCTAAGCGGGTCCAAACGATCCTAAGCGGGTCTAAGTGGACCCAACGGATACTTTCTATTTTTAAAATTATTTTTATAAAGGTTAGAGAAAAAAAATGGTAATAAAAATATCTAAGGTAATTCCTAGTAAATTATATTATAGAATTGTCACCTAAATTTTTTAATTCGAATTTAAAGACAAAAATATTGTAAAGAGATATTCAAAGCAATGCGTTATATATATATATATATATATATATATATATACATCTTAAGATATATAAGCTATATTCGATTTAGGCCTCATTTGTTTGCACTTAATGGAGGTCTGAATCTTAATCATTCAGATCTCACAAATTAAGTGCGTTTGTTTTTAAATCTGAATCTTAATTGTTCAGATCTTAATCGTTAAGTGTTTTTTTTTTTTTTACTTTACAACCACTTAATGGGTCTGAATAGGTCTGTATCATTAAGATCTATAACAGAGACTTAATTTCATTAAGATGCTATCATCCATATTCATTATTAACTGCCGTCACCGCCTACTATTATCAACTAGCAACATGCCACCAATCACCACCATCATCCTCAATCATAGCAGTCACCATTGTCAACTACCACCATCCACCAACCTCACCACTCCCACCACTATCATTCTCAACGACAACCAATACTCATCCACCTCAACTACCACAACTAACCATCCCATCACCATCAACAACCATAGCTGGCACTGTCCACAATTATAAACTACCACCACCCACCACCATCTTCCTCAATCACAACTACCACCACCACCACCCGTCATTATTAACTATCACCACCCACCACCACCATCCTCAATTATAATAACTATCACTACCAATCACCACTAGCTACTACCCCAAAACTATCACCATCAATTAAATCTACCACCAACCACTGCTTTTAGTCGGCATTCACAAGCACTACCGTTAGCCATTACCGACAGTAACTATCGTATTTTAAAAATCTATATATTTTAGTGATGGAATATTAGATTAATTAGTATTTTATTTGAATTTTATGTTTATTAATTTTCAAATAAACGTAAATTTTATACATTCAGATGTTAAAAAATCAAACAATCTTAATCATTTAGTATTCAGATCTTAATACACATCTTAACATTCATATGTGTATTCAGATTCAGATGTCTTAATCCTAATACATATCTTGATATTCAGACGTGTATTCAGATTCAGACGTCTTAATCTTAAAAAAAAACAAATGAGGCCTTACTATATATACATCTTAAGATTTATACATTAATATTCGATTTATATACTTTATATACATCTTACTATATATATATATATATATATATATATAGTATATCGTAAGATGTATACTATCGAATATGGCTTATATACTATGTATAAGGTTAGCCTGACTAGGTACACTTGTCCCCTCGGTCAAAACTTCCATACGAAAATATCTAGCTTTATCTTGAGGGTGTAGCAATATGTGTCTAGTCAAACTTCCCGTCCCCCCCGACTTCCAACATATTTAAAAACTAACTCTTTGCCACAAGTTTTACACTTAGCCCTATTTTTTTCTCTTAGTTGAGTAAAAAATGGCCAAACAAGAGATGTTTCTGCCCGTTTAGAAGGTTGTCTAGAAAAAGTAGGGGCAGTAACAGGAGGGTCAGACGGGGGATCATTTGGATTATTATTAGTTGGGTTAACTTCAGGAGCAGGACTAGTGGGTGTATCGTCATCCGGTTGCGTTTCATCAAAATCTATTTCTTCATCATCATTTTCATCAATAGTTGGATTACCATAAAGAGCATTCATATATTCATGGTTTAATTGTTCACCGGGTGCAATATTATGGCAAAATTGACTCTCGGTAAATTGTAATAAACTATTATCGCTATCAAGAATAGGAGGTGTAGGACAGGTAACAGGTTTGGGCCGGGGAGCCGGGAAAAGTGGAGGAGGAATAGATTGGCCACTAGATTCACCACTCTTGGATTTTCCCTTATTCTTACTAAATATTTTTTTAAGGAATAAGCCATCTTAATTAATCAAGCAAAGTAAATAAAATACATAAAACTATAATATTAAAACTTAAGAGTTGGAACGAGTTTACCGAATTGACGAACAACTTGTTGAAAAATAATTATCGTTGAAGACTTCAATTCACCAACTTCACAATTTTGCACAAATTGTAACAATTAAGTAAGCAATTATAGAAGAATATTAGAGAGAGATTGATGATTTTGTGAGAAAAATGAAAGAATGAGGGGGTATTTATAGTTGAAAATAAGGAAAAAGTGTAATTATAAAAAGTTTGGGGTTAAAATAAATTTTGGGGGGTTAAATGGCTATTTTGCAAATAGCCGACGGCTAGTTTTTAAATGGCCAAACGGTCAATTTTTTTTTTTAAAAAAATTTATCCGTTGGGCCCGAATAGGACCGTTTAGGACCGCTTGAACCGGCCCACTTCTCAGCCGGTCCCGGTCCCAAACGGTCCCGGTCTCGCGGGCCTCGCCTATGAGACCGGTCCACTACCCGGCCCACCACCCCACGGTCCCGGTCCTATCCGGTTAGGACCGTTTAGGCCCACTGCCCATGTGGGCTTGCGGTCCTAGGCCGGTCCCGGTCCTAACCGACCCACATGCCACCCTTAGCCAAGCCACAAGATAAAGGAAGTATGCTAATAGATAGGGCTGTGCATATTTTGGTAAATACCGAATTATCGTACCAAAATCGAAAAATTTTGGTATTTGGTATTCGATATTTTGGTATTCGGTATGATATTTGGTTTAAGTTTTAAAAAATATTGGTATTAGCTATGTTATTTGGTATTTTAAAATAAAATACCGAAATATCGATACCGTACCGAAATATATATTATATTATATTACACAATACACATATTATTAATTATAACATAAATATAAAAATCTAAAATTTTACTTTCCTTTATTCTCTAAGTTCATCAATTAACTCTAAGCAAGTAACAAGACAATGAGACATTTCTAATGATCAAATTTATTCTTTATGTACAATTTTCTCTCTCTCGGTTGATATTTGCTAGTTTTGGACAAAACTTTTGTCAATTTTTTTTTTAGTTTTGTACTTTTGAGTACTTTAATTTAGAATATTACAATCTTTGACTCTATGCACTAGTTAGTATTCAAACCGAATAAACCGAAACCGAAAGGAGAAAAACCGAACTATACCGAATTTAATTAGGTACAATATTGGTATTACTTTTTAAGAAACCGAATACCGAAAATATCGAACCGAAATGTCTAAATATCGTACCGTACCGACCGACAAACACCCCTACTAATATAGATACAGGCGGGGACGGCAAGTTGGCAACCCTAGAAGTTTGTAGGTTAATACTGAGAGTTATTATGACTTTACTAGCTTCTTTTCTAATTTTTATTTATTAAAATAAATTCCTAATAGACCTTAGTTTATTTCCTTTAGTTAACTTAATTAGGCATAGTGTAAACACCCAGCGTGAGTAAGTATTTTTTTTTAATGGAGGATATAACTATCTAATAGGGTAAAATTTAGTATTTTTTTTTAATGGAGGATATAACTATCTAATAGGGTAAAATTTTATATGCATCCGGGGTTCATATTAACCCGTGAATATACCACGTGTCTTTTATAGACACATTTAACATTATGTATGTATTTTCACTTTAACCTTTACCTGCTAATAATAAATTGCTTGATTAGTTGAAATAATGAATACGAGTAACTATTTACATATCCAATAGTGAATAGTCACTAGTAATTTATTTTAAATATCACAATCGTTAGAAGAAACAAAGAGTAGGTAAATGCATTATTAGGTGCGAGATAACGTGGACAGGAGGATTTCCGAGTGTTGAGTCTCAAAAACCCTTTTAATATTCTCATTAGTCTCAAAGTCGCACTTCGCTTGGCGCCTTTCAAACAAGAAAAACCTTAAACAGAGCAAAAAGTGTAGAGTAGCTATTATCAGGAACAAACAGGGCAGTAGAAAATGACAAAATGCAGCCAACTAACCAACTTGCAAAAAGGACAGAACGGCATGTAGACTCTTCAAAGTCATTAATTACCCTTTTCATTCCTTAACCTACTCCATTAACGGCTGCTAATCAGTAAGTATATCTCAATTCTCAGGCCATGTGACCGTAGAAAGTTCAACGAATTCGTTAATTAATTCATTCCCACACGGCGCCATCACGCGTTTTGGCTCTCCCCCTTCGTCTACTTTATAAATACACCTCTATAGATCCGAATTTCGAAAAATCCTTTACTGTTGACGTAAGTTTGTTTCTGATTCTGCCGAATATTTGCATACGCAGGACAATTCAAATACTTTTCTTTCACAGGTATATCTTCTTTTTCTTATTTCTTTGAATTCTCATTCGAATTACATTGCTTCGCCTTCTTCTTCTTCTATAGTTTAATTTAATCGAATTGAACGAGGTCAAGCTCTTTGCCTTGTTGATCGTCGTTTCCTAACTGAATTATGTATAGAAGTGTACGAATCGCAGTCAAAGTGAATGTCAACGTCGACGACTGGTTATGTTTTGAATTGTGAATGTATGAACAGATTTGACTAGTCGATATGAGGATTCATCAGTGTTTTCTGCACGATACATATTTGTCGAAAATCCTCTTACGGTCTTTGAACAGAGTAATTTTCATCATATATGTGTTTGTCTGTTTTTTTTTTTTTTTTTTTTTTTTTTTTTTTTTTTTTTTTTTTTGCAGCT